AATGGGAGTGTCATCCCTCGAAGACCATACTAGGCAAATGATGTTTGTTTATACCGGACTGTGTTTATCGATCTAGTCAAGTCGGTTAGAAAACCCAAGGTACCTGGGAATAAAGAATTAACCGAGGACGGTTTTTGGGTAAGCCCTTGATAAGGTCGGCGCTTACCGGATGAGTAAGCCGAGAGACTGTGTGACCCTTGTGTGTGATGGTAGGCTTACAAAGATGGGGGCCAAAACCTCATCCATGTTCCATCATACGGCATGCATATCGATATATCATTCAGAAAAGCCAGATATCCACCTTTAGGTGAAGCGTATGCATGTGCGAGAGATATCCCTATGCACTATAGAGTTGTGGTTGCATTAAGTCGTAGTGACCTTGACTCGTCTCTAGGGGAAGACCTGTAATTTACAAACTGGGATTGCGACCTCTTGACTCATCGGCCAGACTTTGGTGACCCGCTAGTGAGCCCCTGCTTAGACTGTGGGTCATGGGAAACACTAGGTCGGTTCGATAAATCAAGTGTAGACTGTAGTTCACAGTTGAAGGTGGAGTACCTCATAATTACAGATTGAATTCCTAAAATCATATGGATCATTTTTCCATCATATTAATTTAATTGTGTTCATTTTATTATTGAAATAATTTTAGTTTTATTATTTAAATTTTTATGAATCTCTCAATATTTTATTTATGATTTTTGGACTTATAAAAATAAATTTATTGATTTTACAAAGTTATAAAAATTCAAATATATATTAAATTGTTTATTTACTTTTAAAAAATATTTATAAATTTTCATGAGGCCCATAGTGCACATGGGCCCACCATGTGGCATGTGGGTGGGGGCCCACATGTGCCACATAGGGATGGCACGCCCTACCCCTTTGGATTCTTTTTGATAGCTTTGTGTTCAAGTTATTTAAATATGGAAAGTGTATCTTGTGACATATGGTCAACTTGTAATACGGTAAATATTGATCATATCTTGTCTAGTTAAGATAGTAAATATTATCTTGATATTTCTTGACATATTCTTATGGAATATATGAGATGGATAATGCAATTTTATGGAATGCATGATATCGTTAATGGATTTAATTTATTTAAATATATTGATGGAAAAATGGTTTAAGAAAAGGGGGAGAATGGTTCCTGCACCTTCTATAATGTTGATGGCCCATTATGAAATTGATGATTTAAATCTCTCACCCCATAAGTCACCTTGATTAACGGTCCATATTCAATTTCAAAAAAGATGCAAACTATGGAAAACCTTAGATCTTTCACTATAAATAGGGGTGCTCTCCCCTATCTCTATATATCTATCTATATATATCTCTCTCCCATAACCTCTCTCTTTCCCATAAACTCTCTCTCTCCTCCTTAGGGGCCACGTCTCTCTCTGCTCTCAGGCTTTCTCTCTAACCCTCTCTCTCTTAAGACCCACGTCTCTCTCTCTCCTCTCAAGCTTTCTCTCTAACCCTCTTTCTCTCCTAAGACCCATAGGGGTCTCTCGCTCTCCTCTCAAGCTTTCTCTCTAACCCTCTTTCTCTCCTAAGACCTATAGGGGGCACGCCCCAACCCTAGGTCTCCTTTTCTCTCTCTCTTAACCCTTTTTCTCTCTCTTGACTTAAAGATTTAAGGGTTGGGAAAATTAAGGTTTGAGTTTAATTATTTTGGAGTTAGGGTTTTGTAGATATTTAAGGGTGGTTGCCTAGTTTGGCCAAAATTAGCTTTCTCGGTAAGACCCATGTCTCTCTCTCCTCTCAGGCTTTCTCTCTAACCCTCTTTCTCTCCTAAGACCCATAGGGGGTACGCCCAACCCTAGGTCTCATTTTCTCTCTCTCTTGACCTGTTCTCTCTCTCTTGACCTAAAGATTTAAAGGTTGGGAAAATTAAGGCTTGAGCCTACTTATTTTGGAGTTAGGGTTTTGTAGAGATTTAAGGGTGGTTACCTAGTTTAGCCGAAATTAACTTTCTCGGTAAGACCCACGTCTCTCTCTCCTCTCAGGCTTTCTCTCTAACCCTCTCTCTCTCCTAAGACCCATAGGGGGCACGCCCCAACCTTAGGTCTTCTTTTCTCTCTCTCTTGACCTAAAGATTTAAGGGTTAGGGAAAATTAAAGTTTGAGCCTAATTATTTTGGAGTTAGGGTTTTGTAGAGATTAAAGGGTGGTTACCTAGTTTAACCGAAATTTGCTTTCTCGGTTTGAGATTGAAGCTAAACCATTGATCTCACGCCATTGGCTGTGGTGAGTCGGTGCGGGGTGTAAAAAGCCCTGTTGAGGTGATCTCCGACATCTTCTCTTTTACTTTCTTGTTTTTTTTATTTTATATTCTCATGCATTGTTCTTTTATTTTATATTCTCAAGCATAGTAGTAGGTTGAATAGATGGCATTAAGTGATTGAGTTTTATTTTATTATTGTGTTGTTTTATTTTGAAATATTTATTGATTGTAATAAGACCATCTGTAAGTGATCTTTTTGCCAAAATAAAAAGGGTGATTATTATCATTAAAAAAATTATTTTACTATTGTGTTATTTTATTTTGAAATATTTATTGATTGTTATAAGACCATCTGTAAGTGATCTTTTTGCTAAAATAAAAAGGGGTGATTATTATCATTAAAAAAAACTTTGTATTTCCTGGCAAAATATCACATAGGTCTTTCTTTCAGTTTTTAGCTTTATATATGGAAATTTTTTAATAAAGTTATTTTTTGTCATTAGGAGGGGGTGACATCATTCACATGAGGCGTGACATCACCTATATGGAACACACTAGTGGCATTTAATGGGTGATGTCATAACCCATGTGGAAGATGTCACACCCTCTTAATGTTTAAAACACATTTACTAAAAAGATTCTTCATATACAAAATGATGGTATAAAAGTGTCTAAAATTGTTGAGTATAGTAATAAATTATTGCATAGCGTGGGCACCCTAACATAACTCTTATATAAAGTATGCTTTTAGGAATAACATCGTTTGGGTAGCTTTTGGATAAGGGATTGTATGCAGTGAGACCATTTACTGTAATACAATTCTTTATAACATGATATTTGATAGCTTAGATGTGTCACAACACTAAAAAAAAAAAAATTTGAAGTTTGAGCCACTATATAATAAATTCCCATGTAAATGTAAAACTAGGTTTTGATGGTACGTTGTCTCACTAGTTTAGTCGTTCTCTGGAAAAACACTCGCACAATCTTAAGTCATCGAAACTTCGATATGCAAAAGAGTGATTTGCAAATCCTAGGGTCCAATATTCACTATTTGGATGGCTTTTGGAAATTAAATTTTTATTTTATTTTTAAAACAATACTATTAACAATTTTTAGAACCCATATTGGCAAGTTGGGAAGTTAGATTAGACGTTGACCAATTCGAATCGCTTCCTTGCTAGATTCGTGAAGTTTTTTAACCAAAGGTAAAATTACGTAAATATCTATTATATTTTCTTTTATTATCAAAATACATGACACTTTCCGTTGTTATACGGATGTCCTTTTTTTCAACCTGATAATTTTTTTAAAAAAAAGATAAAATTATCAATTTTTGGATTTTTGAAAAATCAAAATTAAAAAAACTTCAGTTTTTGAATAACCTTTTTTTTTATTTTTTTAGATTTTTTAATCTCTCTCTCTAACCTTCACGCCACGGTTTTTGAATACCGATATCTGTGGTGACATTCAAGGATGCCGATGCCGCCGTGAGGGCATGCCTGGATCCTTCACCGGTGATCTATGGCAATAGGCCCAACTGCAACCTTGCATCGATGGGCGTCACTCGATCCTAACTGTCCACTCCCCAACACGGTTTTTCACCATTTTTGCTCTCCCCTCCGGGTGAGATGAAGCAAAGTGGCAATCACAGAGATCCCTTATAAAAAAACATTCTTTGTTAATATTAGGAGTGTACTAGTTCGGATCATTGAAACAATATTGGGAGAAGCAATGAATAAAAGATGACTCTTTCCCTGTCTAGATTATTCATTAAAAAAAGCAATGAATAATCTTGACTCCACGCCACATCTTGGTTTTTTTTCTTCCTTATCCTTGTTGACAGGGATGGAGATCTCATAGCCTTCAAATTTGTTGCCCCCACCATAGAGATCGGCATCCAAAAACCGTGGGGTAAAGGAGAGAGATTCAAAATCTCAAAAAAAAAAAAAAAAATCAGTTTTTCAAATACTGAAATTAAAAAAGCCAAAAAAAGGGGCAGTTTCATCTTTTAAAAAAAAAAAGTGTGCTGAAGTTGAAAAACAAACATTTGTGTAAATATTTTTACCTTAACCGAATTAAACAAGTCTATCAAAATCAACCAGAACGTATTTTTACCGTAACCGAATTAAGCAAGTCTATCAAAATCAACCAGAGCCCCAGTTCCAACTAAGAACCCAGTTGGTGCCACCCAATGAAAAATACGACGGTCCATATCACCATTTTATTGTGTGAAAAAACAGTGAATCAACGAAAAAATACATGAAAAAATAGTGAATCGGCCAAAAAAACCAATCCTGATCAATGAATTGACGGGTATGGATAGCCATATTATTTTAGAGAATCTCATTTTATTGCGGAGAACCACCGATTTCTTTTTAGACTCGGTTGTTTATATATATATATATATATAAAAGGTCATCTATTCTCGAACGGGACCGGACGAATCCAGGCCCGGCGATTTTTAAACGACACGTGCCACTTATTCTCGACGACGTGAATCTCGATTTTTTTTTTAAGAAAAGGAGAAAGCTCATTTTGCCCCATGGAGTGAGTGCCATCGCGGGATCACCTAAGAAAGCACAGAGCTTAAAAAGCCCGTCAAGTAAACAACATCACGGACGGAACTTTCAGTTTCGGCCATCCGAAATTTCGGAGCGCTTTCTCTTAATTTTAAAACGAGAACCTTCGAACCCTTTCCCGGCAAATCTTCGCAAATATAAATACTCTGTTCACAGTACGTCCTTCCTCTCTCTAAAACATTTTTTTCTCTCTCTAAAAACTTCAGCCATGGAAGCAGTTTCAGACACAGTCTTCTACTCCATCTTCCCTGATCCAGCCCTAACCCTATCTGAATCCTCCTTAGAAGACCTCAAGCTCCAAATCCTCCACTTTCTCTCTCCATCTCTAGCGCAATACATATGGCAACACCAGCCTTTCAACCTCAACGTCTCCTCGTCTCGCTCTAGCTGCCCTTGCATCCCCAAAAGTAACCCTAATTCTCCGCGAGTTCCTCACCTCCATGGCCGAATTCGCTATGATGACAACCTGGAAGACGAGTGGTTCGTGGTCTTCCTCCTATTCGAAATCAGCAGAAACTTCAACGATGTCTCTATTCGAGCTTGGGATACAGATGGTGAGTTTCTCTTGATTGAAACGGCTTTTTATCTTCCTCGATGGATCAAACCAGAGAATAGCCATAACCGAGTGTTTATTAGGCGAGGTGAGCTTCACATAATCCCCCTGGTTACAAACCCTAACTCGAAAAATTCCTTATGTTCTGCGTTTCAAAACCCTATTTTGGATAATTCGTTAGGGTTAAGATTTGCATTGGAAGTTATTTCGAAAGGAACCATTAAAACTAGAGCTTCAGATGAGGTTCAGGAAGCCCTGAACCGTCAAATTAGGGATTATCCTAAAAAAGCCCTAGAAAACATGCACACTGTGCAGTGTAGGGTGCCATTATCGGTGGCTCAAGTTTTGAAGCATGAGCCATGCTTGATTTCTTTAGCAGTCGGGGCCTTCTATGATCGAGACATTGATTCTATGAAGTTTGCGTCAAAGATGGCTAAGTTTTTAGGAAATGGGGAAATGGTCGATGTGAGTTTAAGGATGTCTAGGGCTATGTATGCACAACTTATGGGCCAAAATTTTGCTAACCCCAAAACTTATCCAATGCCTACTAGGTCTGAAGGTCTAGTGTTTAAAGGGGCAGAGTTTGGTATGAAAATCGCATGTGGGTTCGAGATGATGTATCAGCAAAGGCAAGGTTTTGAAGAAGAGGGTGAAACTAATGGTGGTTTTGTAGGGGAGGGGAAAAATGAGACTAATTTTATGGGGGTCCTTTCTAAGGGGAGAAGTGGCGGTGATGGGTGGGAGGTGTTTAAGAAGAGCTTGGAAAGTCGGGGGTATTTCAAGGGTCTTTTGCCTGGGTCCAAGGAGTACCATCGGCTTATGGATGAGGCTTTTGAACACTACAAGAACACTGAACTATATTCCAGATCTAGGTACGCTTACTGTGGCTGCTTTTCTTTTTCTTTCTATTTGTGATTTTTTTCTATTATTGTTGCCAATGTTATTCATTTCGACGTTTGAGTTCTTTCTCTGACTGTGGGTGTTAATTATGCGTGTTATTTATATGACTGCGCTGCTCAATTGCTGCTTTATTTGGTGTTAACACTCTCTCTTTTGACAACTTGGTGTTTGATGTATTGACTATACCAGCCTTATCTTATTTGTATTTAAGGTCCCAGTTCTATTTATTATAGAGATTGTGGGGACTATTATTATATTTTTAACATTTGGGTTTTGTTTGATGTATTAGGAATGGGTTGTTTACTATTTTGTTTATTGCATAATTTGCTGACACTGTTAACCATATTTGTGTTTTAGTCCTATTCGTATATATTACATATGAAATCGATCTGTTTATATATATTTCCAAGTTTTAGTAAATGTTTTTATCCATTTTATCACAGTGCTGTGATGCTGGCTCCAGTAAAACGAATTGATGAGATTCTCTCATTGCCTTATTTTATTGATGAATTTACTGGTCTGGACCTTCCTCCATCTGATGATGATGCTTGGCTTTACAATGGTGAGGCTGAGTTGAATTCTGCCATGCTAGAAAGACAGAAAGAAATAGTTCTGTATGAATCAAAAAGACAAAAGCACCAAAAGGCAAAAGAACAAGTCAATAACTGTGCATCATCTTCACAGACAACTGGTTTTAATCTTGGTGATGTAGCAACTAGCATGCAAGCATTTGTGGATAAGGTCTCGAGCTATGAGGGAGCTGAGGTTCCTACAAATAGGTGGGTGCTTTGAATCGTTTATTGTTTCTTCAAGCTCACTTAAAATTAAATGATGTTTGTCATTGTCGATTCTGGTTGCTTCATGAATAATTTTATAATACTATGGTGTTTCATTTGTCAGTTGAAGATTGTTTAGGTGATCTTCGTATATGAATTGTGTTGTTCTTTTGCTGATGCAATCACTAAAATGCTGTTGTAATTGTCATAATTGGGGTTTCATGTAAACTATTCCCACAATTATGGAAAAGAGGGCATTTTTGCTTTGTGAATGATACTCCTGCACTTCCTTATGATATAACAATAGTGATTACAGTGAAACCGCATAAAAAACCATAGTGATTGCAGTGAAACCCCATATAATATAAGAACTAGTATCACATGCATGCCTATGGGTGGTTGGGTGGGTGTTTGCACTTTTCCTGGCAAGTGACAGCTGCTCCCTAGACTTTCTACACTTATTTTCTTTTGATAAGTGGACTATCTTGACATTGGGCCTTCTGAAATTTGAAGTTTGAATGTCCCACTTCTATAAACTGCCTTATTTCATGCAACTAAGTTTAAGATCTTCAGCACATCCTGGGCCTACTACTTTTAGAACTCGATATGATAAGGTACATTTTTGTCATATATGGGGAAAATGAAGTTAGGCACAATTCGTGAGTGTTTTACTTAATGGCTAAATATCTGACACACTTGAAAACAACTTTAAGGTCATTTGGCATGCTATGGACATCATAGTTTGGCTTTTGGAACTTCAAATGCCAGGGGGGGGTTGGGCTCCTTATCAATTTCGCTGCTACATATTATCCCTTGGGAAAAATGATCCTCATCGAGTCATGATGTGCTATGAATGGATGGCTTTGACTCACATCTTGCCCTCAGATGTGCAGGCTAGGAAGGTGGGATGCCAACATGGACTTCCAAATATTTCTTCATTGTGCCATATTTTTTTGTTTCGTTATTACATCATATTTGTCGGTGCCTGTATGGATAAGGTATAACTCCCCGATATCAGCCCTTAAGATGCTTACAACTCATCATGCGGTGCTGGTGGGGTGTACTTATCTCATGTGGATTGGGGTAAAATTCTAGATGTTTATTTTCCCCTTATCTGGGATTAGGTTGTTTGGTGTGGCAACTTATACCTGCCACTGAAACTGGGCCTTAAGCTGTTACCCGATTTGAATTTCGAAGTATTATTTCAGATGTACTTAGGTTTACGTTTGTTTGTCCTTTTTATTGTTACCAAAGTTTTGTATTTTGGGTGTTCATGTAGGTGAGTACACATTTAGTTGTTTTTCTCTTAATTTTATTTATGAGAATGATTAGTTGTTATGAAGTTTTATTTAACATTTAGTTATTTATTTTGAGAACTAATTTGAGATTTGGGCATGCTCTAATTTTGAAGGGAATCAAAAGATGTGGAATTCAATGTGGACCAGTTCATCAAAGAAATGGAATCAGTATTAAGAAATGGACAGCAAGAAGGCTCAGCTGGTGGCGAGTATTCTGAAGGAAGCTATACTTCCTCAGATATGGATTTTGGTGTGTTAAAGGGTTCAATGATGATATCAACAAAAATCATTGTCTACTGCTTTTTTTTGTGTGTGCCTGTGTCCAGTGGAACTTTATGACTTAGCATGATAGCACTTTGTGGCCTTTTTCACAAAAACCAAAGGAGCTCTTACGTCATTTTTCTTTATTTTCAGAATATTATTATCAAAACAAGAAAAACTTTCAAGCATTTCGCATGCCAATAACTTGATGTTTTTCCTCTATGTGGTTCAGTAGTTCTCTTCTTGCTTGAACTTAAATTTCATGCAAGTTAACTAATGATATAATTGGACTAATGTACATCAATGTAATTGTTTTAGGTTTTTTGTTCTTTGGTAAACTCCAAAGAATTGGTTTTTGAGGAATGATGAGATGGAATCCAGTTCAACCTGAACTTTCCAGCCTAACACCATTGAATCACGGGATGATTGGAGGAAGAGCAGGACCTGCCACTTGGATCACGTCATGTTCTGGTGGGTCATCTCTCTCTTTAACACTATCCATCCATCAATTGGAAAGTGTTAGGCTGGGGAATACCATACTTCAGATAGAACTGGGTTCTACCTGATGATTCCTCTTAATTTTTCCCTTCTCTCTGAAGCGGCAATTTGCAAAACAACTGCAACTCAAATTGGTCTGATATGTTTGGAGATTATTTTATAATTGATTGGAGCTTGAATATAGTTGGGAAACATGTTTTTCTTGGTATGTGTTTCCCATGATTCTTTATCTCATACCTATGTATGTATGTGTGCCCCTTACATTTCTGCTTTTCTCCGTTGTTTCTCATGTGGTCTTCTGCTATATTCTTATGGCTTAGCGTATGCAATTAAGTATCATTTGCATGACTTTCTTCCATCATTACTCAAACTCCAAAATTCACTCTTTACATGTTCTCTTTGTTCCCTTGGGTGTGAAATTATACCAAAAATGATCCCCTACTGTAATTGCATCTATGCAACGCTTTAATTAATTGCCTATGATACATCAATTCCAAAATGAGATCCAGAGTACCCCAATATACATGATCGCATGCCTTTGCATCTGCAGCTTTACTAGCATTAGCTCCCTCTCCAACTAATTTCTTTCGAGCCAGTTTGCTTAACCTGAACTTTACCCCATCCATCAATCTTTCCCTCTCTGCTTGTCCATGCCTAAATATCTCTCCCATATGGTGCACCTGTGATCCTCCTCAATAAATCTCGATAAATGTCCTGGAGTTATTATTTTTCGCCATATTTTTTCTTTGAGGCAACTTTAATGTGGAAAATTACATGTATTCAACACCTTAAACGTGAGACTCCCACTGAACCATTATGTTTTTATTCCATCTAGGATGTTCCAAGTTTCTGACCATGTTAAATCACATTTGGAACTCTGTACATGCATCTTTCTATTCCTCCTTAATTTGTTAACACTGTGCAGATGAGTTAGATGATGGTGAAAGCTCAGATAGTCCATGTGAACAGCAAAGCTCTGGGGATACCTTTATGCATTCTTATACAGATGCCTTGAATGCGGAGTTGAAGACAACCACTCTAGGGCAAAGCTTTGTTCGTGCAGATAATGAGGTAGCTTTTCCTGTTTTTTGCATATCTGAAACTATGCTCGGTGCCTGGTGGTCATGTAATCTTTATAAATTGTTTATTCTTGATGTCCTAATGTAGTGGGAGTCTGCGAGTCGTTCATTTTTTTTCCCCTTCTGTTTTACTTTTTCCCCTTGTTTACTGTAGTCTTTTGACTATCGGATTCTAACCAACTCTTTTCTTTTTGTTTATTTGTTAATTTTGACTAAATAGTTGCATGAAAAGGCTAATATACCATTAACTCGAGACTCAAAAGAGTTGGTGCCTTTAATGCAAGTATACAATGCTCAATGTGACCTCAGGAAAATCTGATTGGAGCACCATCACTATCCTATCTATGGTATTGTGAGAGTGTGTGCCTGTGCGTGCGTGTGTGTCGAGAGAGAGAGAGGACAGGGATGTGTTCTTTTCTGTTATCTTGCTTCATGGTTACATATTTTGTAATAATGGAATAAGTTTGTAGGTATCTTGAGTAGTTGGGGAAATCTCATGACCTGATAAAAACATGTAAGAGGTGATGGTAGCTGAATTGCTGTATAATGTCTTAGGGGGTATGCTTGAAGAGTCCTGAATCTTGATTAGATAGTGAAACCCTTGCAGGAATGGTGGGTACATGTAAAAAGTAGTGCTCGACTTATTGCTACCCAACCGACTCTAGTTCAACTGGTATGCTGCTTGTATGTGAATTGTGTAGTGAAATTTTGGCACATTGGATGCATGTAAGAAGTGATGGGTGACTGGAAGTCCTACTGCTACATAATTTGCTTTAATACATTGGATAATGTCGTAAAGAAATTTTGGCACATTGGATGCATGTAAGAAGTGATGGGTGACTGGAAGTCCTACTGCTACATAATTTGCTTTAATACATTGGATAATGTCGTAAAAGAACGAGAGATGAATATGCTGGTATGCTTATGCAAATATGGGATGGTATCAGTATGCTGTACATACCACAGACTCGCTTTGCATTCTCCAATGTTTGTGTGATTATGAGCATGTGATTCTTTGAGGCTTATTTGTGTAGCATGTCCACATAATACGTGCATGTTATTCTTCATGTACCATGTTTTCTTTATCCTTTCTATTTTTGAGTCTTCGCCATACCCGTTTACCTATTGTTTATGTATGCAACGGCTTTTATGGATGTAAATCACACATGCATCAGCTGTGTGTATGCGTGTTTATGTATTGTAAGCATGCGGTTCTTTGGACTTATTTATGTACTATGCATGCATGCACAAATGCATATGCAATAACAGGCACGGATTATTCGTACTCTCTATGCATGTGTGGTTATAAGTATTTGATGTTTGAACTCATTTATGTACCTCGTACGCTTGTCCACATTGTTTGCCTGTATGTATAGACATTCTTCATATTCCTCTATGTACTGTATATATACCTGCAAACATGTCACCTATATGCATGCGTGCTTTTATTATGTGTGTGTAGTGCGGATGTATATATGTATGTGATTCTTCAGATGATAATATGGGGTGCAGGGTATGGCAAGTGCCTCGGGGGATGCCAATGGGGATGACGATTTCACCCCCGTTGACATTGATGTGAACCTGGTGCAAAGCCTTCTCGAATCCTTCTCTTCTCAACAAGGCCTCCCAGGACCCACATCCAACTTGCTCGGACTTATGGGTTTACAGCTCCCTCGTGATTCAAGAGAAAAGAAGTGAATTAAATGGATACCTCTCACCTTGGTGTGGTTCTTTTGGAGGTAATCCTCAAATTTTAGAATTACACTTGTATCAAAGTACTGGTGCTTTATGTTGTGAAGTGCAGCATCATTAGGAAGCTTGGAGAAATAGTGCTCTTGGTAGCCGACCCCAATTAATTGGAAAATGATTTTGACGATGATAGTAGATGAAAATTCCATCAGTATTGTATAAATCACTTCAGTTTGTTAACTTTATTTTCGGTATCGTATATATATCCCTTCCTGGGAACTTGTACTTTCAATGAAAAACAAACCATGAGAATGCAGTGAGTTTTGGTAGGGGATGCAAGGTGTCACGGGTCTTACATAAACCAGATTTATAAACAGACGTTGGTTTCGGAAAATTAACAGCGGGACTTTGATCCCACACGCCTGTGTATGTGTTTGAGAGTGAGAGAGAGGATGGAGGGTGGGGTGAGTCAACTCACTGTGAAGTTATAAATATTTTGTCTTATTGAAAGGAAATTTATGGTGTTCATCCTCGTAAACTGGAAGTTTGGAAATGTGCTGGTGCTTGCATGTGTGTGGCTGTGTTTGAGAGAGAGAGAGAGAGGGATGCATACCTAAACTGAAAGTAAGGGTGGCAACTGGTCGGGTATGGGTTGGGTCCAGCTGGACCCAGAACCGGACCCGGATCCGGACCCAAATAGCATTAGATAGACCTCTACCTAGACCTTGACCCGACGGGTCCAGAGTACCCCATGCCTGTATCAGGGATGTTGGTTTGGACCCGGACCCAACCCGTACCCGGAATGCTCTCTTCCCCTCTCTCCCTCTTTGAATTATGGCGTCTCTCTCACTAATAGGATATTTTCTCTCTTAACTAGGCATTTTTTCTCTCTATCTGTATACGCCTTCTCCCTCATAAGGGCTTCTCTGTTTGTCTATATAAACAAGGCCACCTTCTTGTAAAATAGGCTTTCTCTGTCTAGGACCACGCCCTCCAAATGGGGAAGCTCAGACTCTCAATAGGACCAGAGTTGGCAAGGAATCAGAGAACCTTTATCAACTGTTATCGAATCCTACCCTAATCGAGATCTACACGAGTTATCAACTATAGATGCACAAATAGTGTAAGAAATTCACAAATGTAAATTGTTTTTAAAGAAACTTCAAATAGTGCGAATAATTCCCATATTTACCAGATACAATTCACGCACGTAAGATATTTGCAATCAAACAGGTAAACCCAAAAAACCTAGTCCATTATTCAATAAACCCTTCCATGAAGCCATTAATCCCTAGATTTTCAAGATACAAAGACTCAAACCAAAAATGGCAAAAAAGGGAGGTGAGATCGCACCACATGAATTCCATTTTCGACACAGTAAAGCTCCTAGCAAGCGTTGCCTTGCCAACCTCGATACCGTCTTGGCCAATATGAATCCAGATGCAGTCCCTCATTTTCGAGGTGGAGCTGTAGAGGAAGTAGAAATTCTAGAGAGAGAGAGAGAGAGCAGGGAGATACCTGATGGGTCCTGAGTCGGGTCCAGGTCCATTGCTAGCTCTAAATGAAAATGCTTGTGCATGTTGCATAATTCCGAATCTTGTATCATGGGATTATATACTATGAGACGTTCTTTCTTACACGCACACAAGTTCACAACTACCCCTAGCTATTAGATGTCAAATTGGATTTATTAGGGTTTGTCATGAAGTCTCAAAAAATTTTGTTGCCAACTTTGAATCCGGTCAATTGCACGCTCGCAACCACCCAAATTCAAAATCGAAAGGACAATAGTGGTTGTAATCACCTTGTGCTAAATGCAAATGCCAAATGGTCTCTTTATATACTTTTCCTTATATTATTGATTAGAATGTTAGTTTATTAACAGAAACCTCGATAACGGTCATGAAATTGCTTTATAACAATCGTGTGCCAAAAAGGAGTGGCAGTTTTACTTCTATGGTTCTATTTTTACCCCAGGCTCGTTCTATTTATCCCATTTGTAAGATGATGACTGCTATTTTTAAGCGATGGCTCTTGCATTGAAAAACTAGGCTTCTTACAATAAAAATGTGAATGATGGATATTTGAACAAGGTGAAAGAATGCATTTGTCAAAAAAAACAAGGTGAAAGAATGCATTTGTCAAAAAAAACAAGGTGAAAGAATGAAAATGATGACCATAGTTTATATTTCTTTTTCCTTCTTTTAATGTGTTTGCCTTTAGTGGACAAGGCGGTTACCCGGTTACAATGACCATTGGATGTAAAGTTAGGTGGTAGCATTTAATCTATTGGCCAAACTCAAAAGTTAAAAAAATTGTTTGACACCCAAGCTATTAGATTTCACATCGGATGGTTGTAAGTAATTATAACCTCTTTGTACTATAGATAAATGGTCACATTATATACAATCCATATAATATTTGATCCACCATTTGGTTTAATTTGTGAATAAAGTTGTATTATACAATGAGGCCATTTATTTTTGGTACGTAGTTACCAATTAATCTTGACTATTGAATGTAAAATTAGATGGCCACATTTATTCCATTGACCAAGTTCAAACTTCAAAAAAAAAAATTTCAAACTTTGTGACACTCAAACTGCCATAATTCACATAGATGGTTGTAGGTAATTACGACTTCATTGTATCAAAAGTAAATGATTTTTTTGCTGTATACAATCCCCAAACAATCTAAACGCTGTATACAATCCCCAAACAATCTAAGCAAAGAACATATAATTTGAAAATGTGATTCAAAACTCTGAAATGGCTTAATAATCTATTTTCACCGCCAAAATCCCCTTTTTACATTTTTATTTTTCTTTTACTTTAAAACTTGTATAAAACTTTTTTACATTATTAATCCATAAACATTTATTTTAAGTATAATTTTTATTTCTAATGCTTTCTAGATCTAGACCGATTCAAACTCAATTTAGATCGTTGATTCAGTGATAAGACACAAATGTGAGTCATCCAGTGATTCACGTTTCGAATACGGATTATGAATTGAAAGGGGCACAAATGATGCACATCACATTGACTTCTAAATACTTTAAATCTTACACATAGATAATCGACAATATACTAGAACATACACTATATTTAAAGCGTAAAATTTATCATATGTATAGATCAAGCGGAGCATTTTCCAACATAAAAAATTATTTGCAGTGGGATTTTGAAACGGGTCCTCATATGTAGGGTAGAGCAACTCCTAAAGTACCAATGCAAAGATGAGAAATCAACTTGTTTCTTCAGCTCTCATCCCAACATATCGATTCACTATCAAGATCAAATACAAATATGAGAGAGGAACTCATTTTTTTTTACTTTTTCCTTCAAATCAATCTTCATGGTAGCCCTTTATAATTGGGATCAGGTACATAAATCCCATCATCATAGCCTTTTCTAATTGGGATCAGGTACAAAAACCCCCGGTCCTTGAGCAGACCGCACATAAGACCCAACCAGCCAAAACGCATTAAAAAAAAACCCGTGTGGATTAAAGAAATGCAATTAAAACAACACCCCTCTCCTCGTAAAGATGGAAAAATTCAACATATATCAATCCACCATTAATCTTACTCCTCCCATCAGTTCGCAAGCCAAAACATAAAGGAATTCAACACAGTACACACGAACAATATATACCAAAAACGACGCACAATTTTCAGTCCAACATATATCAATCCACCATTACTCTTACTCCTCCCATCACAAGCCAAAACATCAGGAATTCAACGCAGTACATACCAATATATACCAAAAACCAAGCACAATTATCAAAAAACACAAACAAGCATGAAATAAAAATTCTCAAACCATTGGAAGCTACAATCACACCAAACCCACAATTTACATAAACTACTTTGTCTATTTATTCACCTATTCATGCGTTCCAAACCAAACAAAGTGAGGCAATAGAAGTCCAATAATGCCCCGTAACATAACAAACTTCATAATATGTCCAGTAGAGAGAGGCGGGTCAAAAGACCACAGAGTAAAGGATAGAGAAGAGAGCAAATAACAGACCGCACAACCGACACGTAAAACAGTAGATTATGAAGCAGAGCTTCAATTACCACCACGAAGTCGCAGGACGAGATGAAGGGTGGACTCCTTCTGGATATTGTAATCAGCAAGGGTCCTCCCATCTTCAAGCTGCTTCCCAGCAAAGATGAGCCTCTGCTGGTCTGGTGGGATGCCCTCCTTGTCCTGAATTTTCGCCTTGACATTGTCAATGGTATCGGAGCTCTCCACCTCAAGGGTAATGGTCTTTCCAGTAAGAGTCTTAACAAAAATCTGCATGCCACCCCTCAACCTGAGGACCAAATGGAGGGTGGACTCCTTCTGGATATTGTAATCAGCCAGAGTCCTTCCATCCTCCAATTGCTTGCCGGCAAAGATCAGCCTTTGCTGGTCAGGAGGGATGCCTTCCTTGTCCTGAATCTTTGACTTCACATTATCGATGGTGTCCGAGCTCTCAACCTCCAATGTGATCGTCTTACCAGTCAGGGTCTTGACAAAAATTTGCATACCCCCACGAAGCCTGAGAACCAAGTGGAGGGTGGACTCCTTTTGAATGTTGTAGTCCGCGAGAGTACGACCATCCTCTAATTGCTTACCAGCGAAGATGAGCCTCTGTTGGTCGGGAGGGATCCCTTCCTTGTCCTGGATCTTTGCCTTGACATTATCAATGGTATCCGAGCTCTCAACCTCCAGGGTAATGGTCTTTCCAGTCAGGGTTTTAACAAAGATCTGCATACCCCCACGAAGCCTAAGCACCAGATGGAGTGTGGACTCCTTCTGAATATTATAGTCGGCGAGGGTACGGCCATCTTCCAATTGCTTACCGGCAAAAATCAACCTTTGCTGGTCAGGGGGGATTCCCTCCTTGTCCTGGATCTTGGCCTTAACATTATCAATAGTGTCTGAACTCTCAACCTCCAAAGTGATGGTTTTACCAGTGAGGGTCTTCACAAAAATTTGCATGCCGCCTCGAAGCCTGAGCACCAAGTGAAGGGTAGACTCCTTTTGAATGTTGTAATCTGCAAGAGTGCGACCATCCTCCAACTGCTTCCCAGCAAAGATGAGCCTTTGCTGATCGGGAGGGATCCCTTCCTTGTCCTGGATCTTGGCCTTTACATTGTCAATAGTATCTGAGCTCTCGACCTCAAGGGTGATTGTCTTCCCAGTTAGGGTTTTGACGAAGATTTGCATGCCACCCCTGAGCCTGAGGACAAGGTGGAGTGTGGACTCCTTTTGGATGTTATAGTCAGCAAGAGTACGGCCATCCTCCAATTGCTTTCCAGCAAAAATTAATCTCTGCTGGTCAGGGGGAATGCCTTCCTTGTCCTGTATCTTTGCCTTTACATTGTCTATGGTGTCAGAGCTCTCAACCTCCAGGGTGATGGTTTTCCCAGTTAGGGTTTTAACAAAGATCTGCATACCACCCCTGAGCCTGAGGACAAGGTGGAGTGTGGACTCCTTCTGGATGTTATAATCAGCAAGTGTACGTCCATCTTCCAATTGCTTTCCAGCAAAAATCAATCTCTGCTGGTCAGGGGGGATGCCTTCCTTGTCCTGGATCTTTGCCTTTACATTGTCGATGGTGTCAGAGCTCTCTACCTCGAGAGTGATGGTCTTTCCAGTCAAGGTCTTAACAAAGATCTGCATGATTGGTTGCTGTGGTACAGAAACTGCATGACAAACAATAAGAGGCCATGTAACTACTCAAACCCAACAACCAATGCTGATTACATAACACAGAGCAAATACCACTAACAGATACAGGACCACAGAAAATTCAAAGACCTCGGCATAAATTCTAACATGTTAGGATTAGCATAAATTCTAACACATTGGGATCAGTATTCCATTATTGTATATTAGCAAAAGCAATTATTCTTGAAGACAACATACATATCCTGTATATAAATGGAAAGAACAGAAAGAAACACAGATATAGATAAATGTGGGAACAATACAACAACAAACTTGGGTGGCATTTCAAAAGTTATTTTGTGTCGATATCTTTTTAACAAACTTGCCCACATCATGCCAGTACCCACACAATGCCAGTAAGTGCCATACAATGCCAGTAAGTATGAAACAGTAAAAACAAACAGACAACAAACTAAAATTCAATACAAGTTTCCAAAAGGTAAAAACAAACAGACAACAAACTAAAATTCAATACAAGTTCCCAAACACAGAATGCAAAGATTTTTTAGACCTTAATAACAACAAACAAGACACCTAGCCATCAAATGCTACAAAATCCAATAGAGAATGAAGTGCACCGGGAAAAAAAACAGTGAATAACCTAAAACAACACAAGATCAGAAAAAAAAACGAGTGAATAGCCTAAAACAACACAATATCAGAAGAAAAAAATAGTGGTACCCAAACGCACTGCTTGCTTTCAAAATAAAAGAATCAGAAAGAGTATAAAAGGGAAGTGCCACTCAAATCCAATACAGAAGGAAGGGCACTGTGTGATTTCCTAACAATAGAATCAAAAAATAAACAGAAGGGAAGAATCCCTAGAAAGAAAAACCAATGACTTGGATATCCTCAGAAAAAATCAAACATACACAGGATGAGTGATCCTAATCACAAATAGAAGAGTTTTGAGAAAGTTTGAAACATTGAGCATGGCATAACCAAGCTCATTCATGCAATGACCAATTGACCATTACATAAAATGGCCTAAAAATTAGGCTCAAATCACATAAATGAAGGCATGGAAAAACCAAAACAAATAAAATAAAAGACCCTTCTCCCTGCGCCCACCCAAAACGAAACACGAGAAAGAGGCAACATTAAGTAAATTCACTGTGCCTGAAACAAAAGAAACAAGGGAGCCCTGACAAACATAGAACCCAACAATACCATGGCAACACAAAGGGAAAATAGAGACCAAGAACTCAGAAAATAATTATTTGTGATAGAGAAGATAAACAATGATGAATAACAGCCCCCAAAATACAAAAAACGCTAAAAGCATCGAACATTAGATCAACACTCACCGACTTAAAAAAAACAGGTACATCTTTAACTCATAAGGCAGCATCAAACCATGATTACCAACACAACAAAAAAAGACGACCAACAAGATACAATTATAAATCTGACATGGCCCTGAAACTCGAACCAAAGCCATCATGGAAATAATACAGAGGCTAGAACACTGAAAACCCCACGTGAACAAATTAAAAACAAAAGGACACGAATTAAACAGAACTCAGATCAGAAGATCAGCCCCCCAAAGGCAAGCATCAAAGTCTAAATCTAATTAGAAGGAAAAATAAACCTAGCGGGAAAGACATTAGATCACAGGACGACAGGACCACACACACACACACACACACACAAGAGATCAGCAAACTCTTTAATAAAAGGGACATAGGGAAAAAGACAGGAACAGAATTTTGTGATTCAGCATCAACCCTGGCTCTCAAAGGATACAAGACATAAAACACAAGCCATATCATTGTAAATCCATTTCCCCTGAGAATTATGATCTTGAAGCTCGAAAAAACAGAACAGATCTGGCTATCTTTGACAAATTACAGTGCAGATCTGAATATCTTTGATGAATTAAAACGAATAGTCCTAAATAAGTACAAAATATAACATCTATAAGGCCCAAAATTCATTCTTTTCAGATTCATGATGGGTTTCGGATCCAAAATCCATCTCCAAAATGGATCTTGGAAAGGTGGACTATCTCTTGTGACAGGCGCATCCCTGATGCGCATAAAACCTACCCATAAAATCCTAAACCACCATGGCTACAGAAAAATCAAGCTCTCAACTGAAGATAACAATCAAATCCAAATAAAAATAAACAGAAAATGAACAGGAAAAGAAAAACCTACCCATAAATCCCTAAATCACCATGGTTACGGCAAGATCAAGCTCTTAACTGAAGAGAACAATCAAATCCTAATAAAAATGAACAGGAAAAGAAAAAGGGAACAAACCCTATATGAACCAAAAGCTTACCTCAAAACTCTGCAACAAGAACGCCAAGCCTTCTTGTCTATGTCTATGTCTCCGCCTCTCTTAAAAGTTCTCTCTCGCTACGAAGATAAAAGAAGGGAAAATGGTTAGGTATTTATAGGAGCGTTCCACTGACTTCCGAGGGTCAGGATTAGGGCTCAACAAATTACGCGGTCAGGATTTTTCGGGATACAGTTCCATAAAATACACCCTCGATTTTACAAAATATTTTCTAAACTAACGCCCGGTTTCCCACCGCCTCCTTCTCCGCAAGCCCCGCACAGGATATATATGAAAGTCCGAGAGGATACATCTGTCATTTAAATGTGACCATTAATTTTCGCCCTAAATTAGTTGGATACCTCGCAGCGGCAATATCGAAAATAACTTAAATAATTGAGGGCACGATAGTAATTGTTTCGTTTCCTTGACCGAGAGGGTTGTTGGCCTCACGTCAAGAATGCGTATGCGACATACGCGTCCAATCCTATTAATTGTCTCCACGGTACACGTGTTGTTTCCATGAAGCTTCCATATTATGTTACCGCCGGAATAAACTGTATACTTCCTCCCTTGGGTTAAAGGTTTACAGCGCTTTTTTTTTCTTTTCTTTTTTTTTTAAAAAAAATATTTTATTACTTTTTATTCCTATTTTTTATGAGTTTTAAAAATTAAAAATATTATTTATAACATAGAGTTTCTATCTTTTTTATCTTTCAACTCATAAACCCTTTTCACCGTGTATTTTTTATTTAGAAAAATATTAAATGACAACCTTCCAATTTAATTTTTATCTCTCAAATCACCATCTCTTTTTTAACTCACCGATGTATCTTTCTCTAATACCCAATATTATAGAGAAATTTTCTTTTTTACATCATCTCTCTCTCAAAAAACACCGTGTTTCTGTCTAAACCCTTTAATAGCCCCAATATACCACAAATTCTCTCTAAAAATCCTATAGATCTAAAGCCCTATTGCCATGTTGCAGCCCCAACCTACCGATTATTTGGAGGTCACAAAATTGAACCTCAAACACCTACACCCTTGGATTTCTTCTTTCAACTCAAATACCCAAATCGCAAAGCCCCAATCTAAGTGTTATTATTGATGGATCTAAATTCTAATTGGCATTTAAATTTGCCTTTCCAAAATCACATATGAGGAGTATGGTGGTACACCAAATCACATGTTCACTATTAACTAATCAATCAACCAAGTTTCAATGAACCACAAGTTTATATTCAACAATGTACAGTACATTAAGTTCATATCGAATATTAATAATTAACTTGTATACAGCACTAACAAAAATCAAGTGCTGCATCATAATTTCTAATGAACACCAATCAAATGGCTTCCACTACATATTTACATTGAAGGGATGAGCTCTTCTCTTATAAGCAACCAGAGGAAACCACTCAATGGGGCAGCCAAATCTTCATCACCAAGAAAGAGTTATATCTTCTTGTGCGAAAGTCAAGAACTCCATAATCTTGCAAGGTCCTCAGTACATAACATTGGGTCTTGAATCACTAAATTTGCAATATGCTATTTAGTAGGCGTGCTTGTGTGCATTTAACCAGAAGAAGAATAAGAGGTAGAAACCACCATTTATCTCCATCCCTATTCATGCATGAAAACAGAATTCAATCGATCCCAAAGTTCAGCTTTTCATTCAACAAGATTGTTCCTAAGTTCAACATAACTAGTGGTAATATTTGAGCTTAAGGATGTTATTATATTTTTCTTCCACAATCGTCTCCGTTTGAGGCTCGATTTTGTGACCTCCAAATGATCGGTGGGTTGGGGCTGCAATAGGGCAATAGGGTTTCAGATAGGTGGGTTTTTTTTTAGAGAGAATATACGATGGTTTGGGGCTGCAATAGGGCAATAGGATATCAGATATGTTGGTTTTTTTAGAGAGAATTTGTGGTATATTGGAGCTGCAAAAGAAGCTAAATAGAGATGCGATATTTTTAGAGAGAGATATAATGTATGAGAGGGAACTTTGCAAAAGAAGCTAAATAGAGATGCGATATTTTTAGAGAGAGAGATATAATGTATGAGAGGGAACTTTTCTGCACATTAGGTATTAGAAAGAGAGATAGAGATGGAGTTTTGAGATAGCGAGACAGTGACTTGAGAGAGAGAGGAGTGCTTTGAAAATTAGATGGTAAAATTAACGTTAAAGAAATGAGTAGAAATGAGTTGTTGAGAAGGTATCATTTTAGTATTTTTTTGGTTTAAAAATACATGGTCAAAAAGGTTTAGGGGATTGAAAGATGGAAAAGATCGATCTTTTAGTTACAAGTAATATTTTCAATCTTTACATCTCATGATAAATAAAAGTAAAAAACAAGGGATAAGGAGATATTTTCTCATTTTTTTAAGGACAGTTTTTATGTGGCCATCCCGCATATGGTAGAAATGAGGACTTAGCAATAAATATATTTTTTAAATATAATTTAATCCTAATTTTTAGATAATATATAATCTTTAACATGGAGATTATAAATATAATAAAAAAATAAAAAAATTAAAAAATAAAAAAGCATTTGTTGGACCACATATTTTCATCCATCTTTATGATGGATGCTTTTTACCTCTAGACCCATATTGTAGAATGCGGTCCAGCCCACCGAAAACAATTTTCCTTTTTTTAATCCAAAATTTTGGAACCACCAAACAATTTAGATAATGGGAACTCATCCTAAAAAAATTTGGATGGTCTCCATTAAATTTTAAAATATTATTTTTTTTAAGTATATAAAAAGTGATGTTTGAATAAATTTTCTCTTTAAAGTTAGTCTATCGGTTAGAGAGTAAGGTTAGAAATGTCTGAGCGACTTGGACTTGGACCCATACCCAACTAGATTTATGTAGAATGTGTCCCACCCAAACTTGGGTCAGGACCAAGTGAATTGGACTTGGATCGAGTCCACAGGTATAAGTCTACAAACAAAAAAAATTCATGTTATATATTTTATAATACATTGTTACAATATATTTATATGTATCTTGTACTAGGACCTGACTAACCCAAGAGGGTCTAGGTTGGACTTGAACCCAAATCCAAACCCGATCTAGGTTGGGCTAAGATCAAGGGGACCATTGTCTAGGTTCAGGCCCAGACAGGCCGACCCATCAGGTCCACGGGACAGCCCAACCCATTTCCCACCCTTATTAGAGAGGTTACATACTAAATTTTGAGATTCTAAAATTACTCCAAGAATGGGTTTTATTGGAAAGAATAAAGAGATTTTATGCTCCCACAGTAAGATGATGTTTTTTTGGCTTTGGCTTCATATTTTTTCATACTTAAGTCTTGCTATTAAGAAATTGGGATAGGGAAGAATTAAGTGACTCGGAATATCCTAACCCTTAAAAGGGAAAATCTTAGTTAAAGATAAGGATGGTATTAGGCCTAACTAATCTTACCAAAGCTAATTTAAGGATAATTCAATGAACGGGTTTGTGAAGGTATACCTAGTACACTTAATTAACTTATTTAGGGCGATCTTTTAGGTATTTCATCTAGGGAAAATTTATTGAAGTATATAATTTAAATTTAAAGCTTTAAACATCTTTTGATTTAATTTTAGTCAAAATATCTATAGAACATAGTATTGAGTTGAAATAGTTGCAAATGGTCAAAATGTTAAATACTTCATGTCGAATGGGTATCTTGTTTGATTTTCCTTAATTTAAAATAAATTTAGAATGTGTCGTATAAAAAAAAGATTATATATAATGAGACTGTTTACTTTTCGAATAAGGTGGTCACAACTACTTATAACCATATGATGTGAAATTTGTTAGCTCATAAGCATCATGACGTTCGAAAAAATTTATTTTGAACTTTGAGTTTAGTCAATCAAATAAATGCAGTTGTCCAATTTCATATCTAATGGTTAAAATTACTCATGACCTGTTGGGTTTATGTTGGGTTTATATGGCCTTTAAAGGCCTTATGAGTGTGGTCCCTCGAGGATCATATTAAACGAATGATGTTTGTTTATACCGGACTGTGATTATCGATCTAGACCAGTCGGTTGTAAAACCCAAAGTACCTGGGCATAAAGAATTAACCGAGGAAGGTTTTAGGTTATTACTTGATGAGGCCGGAGCTTATGCCTTGATGAGTGAGCCAAGGGGTTGTGAGACCCTTGTGTGTGATGGTAGGCCAACTGAGATGGGAGCCAAAACTTCATCAATGTTCTATCACACGGCATGCATATCGATATATCGTTCGAAAAAGCCAAATATCCACATTTGGGTGAAACGTATGCATGTGCGAGAGATACCCCTATGCATCATAGAGCTATGTTCGCATCAGGTCGTGATGACCTTGACTCGTCTCTAGGGAAAGACCTGTAATCCACAGACTGGGATTGCGACCCCTTGATTCATCGACCTAACTTTAGTGACCTACTAATGAGCCCTTGCTTAGACTGTGTGTCATGGGAAACACTGAGTCGGTTCGATAAAACTAGTGTGGTCTGTAGTCCACAGTTGAAGGTGGAGTACCCCATTATTACAGATTGAATTCTTAATACC